CCTTCCAAGCCCCAAGGGCTTGGCCACGGACTCTCCTAAGGAAAAAATCACCATTCTGTGATATGCAGGCTCGGGAAGAAACCTTTCTTTGTCCCCAGCACCAACATCGTTCTTGTTAGAACAGGGACCAGCTTTCCTAATGCATGAGGGAGAAGGACAGCACAGAGGAAACCCACAGATAATCCTGCCCACTCACTCACCCTGACGGGGACGTTTCCCCTTCTGTCAAAACTTCCCATGAAAATTCTTAAGAAAGAGCCAAATGTTTGCCTCTCTCCTGCCTCCCCTTTCAGTGAAAAGGTTCAGCCAAGAAGGAGAGGAAGTAAAGCAGCTGCCTAGCTCCCAAGTTCACGGTTACGTAATGAGACCAGACCCAATGTTACTGCCAGCCCCTGGGGTCATCAGTAGAAATGGTCTACTGACTGCATTGCTGCTAATGCCAGCTGATACTTCTCTCCTCTCCTTCAAAGACTGACCTGCTCTGGTCTTCCTTAAAATAAAGCCTCTGGAAGATCAGGTGAGAAGCCCTGTACTCTGCCTTACCTGGATTTCAGACTCTGTAAGTTCTGCCGGGATTTGAGCTTCAAGGTGAACACGTTCTTGGAGTGCATCCTGCCGAGGGCTGTGGGGAGAGACAGAGGGAGAGGCTCAGTGGTCTTAAATATTGTTGGGGTAGCTGCTATCTGTCTGAGCCCATTCTCTCAGCACACTTCCCTCTCGGTGTCCTGATTTCTTTCCTTTCCTTTTTCCCACTGCAGTTCTAAACCACATATACAGACCCTTGGCCTGACAAAGGATGGCTGTGCCGCTGCTAAAACTCAGTTTGCCGTGGAGTCCGCTCCAACTCATGGCAGTCCCATGTGCGTCGGAGTAGAGCTGGGGGTTTGCAATTGCTGATAGTTTAGAAATTGATTGCCAGGCCTTTCTTCCAAGGTGCTTCTGGGTACACTTGAACTGCCAACCTTTTGATTAACAGTTGACCACATTAACAGTCTGTACCACCCAGAGACTCCAAAGAACTTAACCAAAGACATTAACCGTGCTGCTGCTAAGTGTTGGGAAATGGAATTTAGATGCCCCAGTATGGGAATTCCCAGGGCTTCTCATGGCTTGGGATCCAAAGGAGATTACATTTAAATTGGAAATATTAAAAAAATGCAGAATATAAGATTACTGTGCTCACAGTAAGGAGCCCTGGTAGTGTGGTGGCTAAGTGCTTGGCTGCTAACTGAAAGGTCAGTGGTTCAAACCTACCACCTGCATCATGGGAAAAAGATGTGGCAGTCAGCTTCTGTAAAGACTACAGCCTGGGCAACTCTATGAGGCAGTTATAATCTGTGCTATAGGGTCATTATGAGTTAGAATCAACTCAATGGCAAAGGGTTTGGGTTTTGCTTTTTTTGATTCTCATGGAGGTCCCTTGGGTGGTTCTCATGATACAAGAGGAATCACAGAGGCACAGGTTCCCCAAGGGGCAGAGCTGAGAGTTCATGAAAGGAAGCCTGGAATTACCTCTGTGGAACCTTCTTTCAATACTTGGCTGCTTTTGGAGTTGGGAGACCGAGGCTCAGGTCCCAGAATGACTGCATGCTAGCTGTGTGACATGGGCAACTTACTTTCCCTCCCTGAGTGTCAGTTTCTCAGTCTGCCTTCCTCACGGGATGAGCGTGAAAGCTCACTTAGAGCCCAGCACAGTGCCTGACACACAGTAGGCCATCAGTCAACACAGGCTCCTTTCTCTCTCCAAGTTCCTTCTTGGTTCCTCCCACCAAGATCTTACTGCCATTGAGTTATTTCCATCTCATAGCAACCTTCCTTGGGTTTCCAAGGTCCTATCTCTATGGAAGTAGATTGCCCAATCTTCCTTCTGAGGAGTGGCTGGTGAGTTGGAACCTCCAGCCTTCTGGTTAGCAGTCAAACGCCTTAGGCACTACACCACCAGAGCTTCTAAGATGAAGCAAGCCCTCGAGTCTTATAACCAACAGGCTCTTCTTGGAAGAGAGTACTGGGTGGTGCCAGGCCAACTGCCTCTGTTCAATGGGCCTGGTGGTCTTCTTGACCACAGGCTCAGGGATCCCAGCCCAGGCAGAAAGAGCCAATGAGCACCAGGTGCCAAAGAAGTAGGTACCTTTGTTGAGGTCCAAAGGCTCCGAGTCCTGCACGAGCCTGTACTGGTGTGGGTCCCAGCTCTCACTGGAGGTGTACAACTTGGGGATTTGAATATGGTGTTTGCCTCGGATATCAAACGTCTCACATGCTGCCTGGAAGAAGATGGACATGAGCACCCTTACCCTGTTGGGTTACTGTGAGGATTTAAAGAGGTAACTTATATAAGTGCTTAGCCTTGGACTTGGCACTTAGTAATTATTGCTATTGTTGTGAATATTAATATTGGCATTAGCTTATTTTATCCTCATGCCCACACTGTGAGGTGGATCTCATGACTCTCATTTTCCAGATGTGGACACATGTGGAGAAGACCTGTCTGACTCCTGACCACCTGTCTGACACCTAACCACCACTGCTTAGTGGAATTCATTGCTTGAGGGATGAGTTCTCTAAGTCAGCAAGGCAATAAAGATCTACTGAGATGTTGGGACAGGTCCAAAGAACTTTACTGTGTGATCCCTGTTCCCAGGTTTTCTGTGGCTGGGAGACTGGAACCAAACAAAGTTGTCCAGCGGTGGCATGGATAATCAGAGGGGGAAGATCACCAAGCCAAAAGCTCCCCATGGGCAGGGACTCTAGCTCAGCCACCTTCTCCCACCCAGGGAGTACATAATGAAAGGGGAAGATTTCCTGGAGTGCAGCTAGGAGGAGTAGCAGTGACCTGAGCTCTAAGGCCTGTATTCCTGACCCATACCTGGGGCCATGACTACAGGACTAGCAGAGGTCATGCCACCCACCATGCCTGGTACAGATGTCCCAGGCACAAATGCACCCCAGCACCCTAGTCTGGCCCGTGGGGCTGCTCTGGCTGTGAACTGACCTTGAATGTTTGCACGGCCCAGCTGCGGAAGGCTTCCTCTTGCCCACTGAGCTCATCTCCTTCCCCTGTCGGGGTGAGCTGAGAGGCCCCCAGGTGGGAGAACTTCTGGTCAATGTCATGTGCAAAGGCACAGAACTGAGGGTACATGCTGGAGCCAAGGCCAAACACAGCGTACCTGCCCAGGAGGACACACACACACAGAGACTGGGTGAGCCAACCAGCCTCATCCAGCACCAGCATTACAGCCATCAAGCCAGCCCAGGCATCCCACTCCTCTGTGCACAGGACTCCCCCGGTACACCTTCCCTTCTGGTCCTCTCTGGCTCCCACCCTCATCACCAACTCCTAGGATCTGCCCATTGACCTGTCAGAGGGACACAGTCAAGGACAACCCCAGACCCAAGCTCTGTCTACTGCTGGACATTCTGGAGCAGACCCCTTATATACGTCTCGTTTCATCACTTGGATCCAGAATCACCACAAGGCAGGGCTTGGACAGGTGGGAGTGGGAAAAACCTTACCTGAATTTGTTAGTGAGTTCCTTCAACAGGAAGAGTGATTTCTTCAGTTTCTAGAAAGAGAGGGCACCAAAGTTCTCAGGCCAGGGTTCATAAAAGCACAGCTTTTGCATTCCTTCTGGTGGTACATTTCTACCCCAGCTGCCTCTGGCTGGGGAAGGCTCCAGACTCACAGATGGACATTGGTTTATACGTAGGATCTCTGAGCCAGGATCGAGTTCAAGTTCTCGGCTTATCTCTCACTCCAGCTGAGCCTTAGCAACTCACGTGGGCCCTGACCCTTGCTGGGAGGCTCCGAATGGCCCAGCCCCGAATCCACCCAGCCCTAGAGGGAGAGGAGCCGGCCTAATATTAAGACATCTCCTGAAGGTCTCCTAATGAGGTCTGGGCCTCTCTCTTGTTTGGCACCTGGTAGGAATGACAACAACTGGTCCCATATTCTCTAAAATTACTCTGATTTTTCAGGAACTCAAGTTAATTTTAGGTGTTATTTCCAACAGAAACAACATTAAATCCCACAGTGAGAAAGTTTTCCTTTTTTTGTAATTGTGTTCTTGTTATTGCCTTAACAAATAATTTATGGAGGCAAAATTCACGTAACATAAAATAAACCACTTGAAAATGAACATTTCAGGGGCATTTAGTGTATTCACAGTGTTGTGCAACCATCAGCTGTATCCAAACATTTCCATCACTCAGAGTGAAACTCCCTACCCATTAAGCAGTTTCCCCCCATCCCCTCTCCCCAGTCCATGTGTTCTGTCTCTATGGATTTATCTCTTTTGGATATTTCATATTAATAGAGTGATACAATCTGTGATCCTTTGTTTTTGGCTTCTTTCACTTAGCCATGTATCCTTAGTTCATTCCTTTTCATGGCTAAATAATATTCCATTGTATAGTTGTATTTATCCATTCACCTGTTCATGGACATTTGCTCTGTTGCCATCTTTTGGCTATTGTGAATAGTGCTGCTATGGACATTTGCTTACAAGTATCTGTTTGAGTCCCTGCTTTCAATTCTTTTGGGTCTATACACCCAGTAGGGGAATGGCTGTTGTATGGTAATTCAATGTTGAGTTTTTTGAGGATCTGCCATACTGTTTTCCACAGTGGCTGCACCATTTTACATCCCCACCATAGAACAATAGACTTCCAATTTCTTCACATCCTTATAGTTCCTCTCTTTGAAATGATCTCTTCATATTTCTGAGCATTAGGGAGAAAGCCTCAAATTGGTGCTGACTGAGCCTTAACACCTTTCTGACACTTGCCAATTGCTCTTTTTAAAAAAACAAAGATAAAGCAGGCCTTGGTTAGGCAACGGTATCTAGCTAAAATTCCAACTTTGTTTTTGTTTTCATTAAACTTACTTTTTGCAAACTTTCTATTTTTTGAAAGTGATAGAAAGCACTCTTTAAGCATGAATTTTTAAGTTAAATGATGACAGGTCAATTTACAGAAAATATCAATTATATAACAGGAAAGGTGACACACACATAGGACAATAATGACGTAGGAGGCAGGCTAATGGCCTATGCTAGAGCAAGCCAGACTGATCAGAACACTCACGCCCTAAACATCTTCTCCACACTGAATCCACACCCTTATCCTTTCCTTGGTTCTCTTGGCCCCACCCCATCCTCCCAGACCATGGCTACCTTGGAATACCCACCTCTCCGTTGCCAGGAGAGTCTCCGTTCCCGAACGTGCTAGTCACCACCAGCAGCAGCTGCTCCTCCTCCAGGTCACTCAGTCTGTACTCGTCCATGCACACAACCTGGGCAGCACCAAGGGTGGACATCAGCCCTCAGATGCCAGTTCACCTGCCAACCTCCCTCCACCCTCCCTGGTCCCCCTGTACTTCCCTCCCACCAGGTAGGAGCCTCTTTGGTCATCTCTGACCCGTGGTGCTCAGAACAGGTGCGGCACAGAGGAGGGATGTGCTTAAAAGGGCTCCCTCGAATGAACCAATTTGAACATTTCTGCCTTCATTCTCCTCCCCCTCAAGTGCCATGGCTTGTTCTGGTGGCTCTGTCTTCAAAATACTGCATCTCCCAAATCAACACACCCTCGCCACTTCCATTGCGATTTTAAATTCCCAATCTGTGGACATATGATCTACAAAATTGTCCTCGCAGGCAGCAAAAATGATGACTCCCCCGGTGCCTCTGGAACCCAATGCTTTGCCTTGAGGTAATCTCAGGTGAAGGTCACATTTCACTGCATGTTCAGGACCCCGGGAGTCATTAGGTAGATGTGGCATCAAGAGGCCTGCTCAGCGACCTCACTAACTTTGCGTTGTTGTTAGT